AAGTCCCAAGACCCGGTCCAAAATCAAGGGACAGAGCAATCAAGCCTACCTCTGGATAGCAGGAGCATCGAAGTCATAGGACGTGAGGGTGCACACGTGCCGGGACGTGAGGGACACACGGTTGTCGGTCTGCCACAAGGGATTCCTAAACCCTATGCCGCGATGCACATTTTTGCAAAAGTAAGCTTTACGTTTTAGCATCTAAAACATGATTTCCTTTGAATCAACCCCTAGAATTGGATTCACCAGGAAGAAGGGGAAGATGCGTTTTCCAGCCTCTTGATACAGAAGCTCTTGATTTCCAGAGGGCACTTGGAGGACCCTTCACCAGTCTCTGCTTTGTAAGGCGGGGGGAATTTTTTTTTTTTAAGATTTTATTTATTTATTTATTTGTTTGTTTGTTTGTTTGTTTATTTATTTGAGACAGAGAGAGAGAGAGAGAGAGAGAGAGAGAGAGAATGAATGAGAGAGAGCACATGAGAGGGGGGAGGGTCAGAGGGAGAAGCAGACTCCCTGCTGAGCAGGGAGCCCGATGCGGGACTCGATCCAGGGACTCCAGGATCATGACCGGAGCCGAAGGCAGCCGCTTAACCAACTGAGCCACCCAGGCGCCCAAGGCGGGGGAAATTTAATTGGCCAACCCCCCATGAAAAAGCGACCGATCACGTTCCGACGTCCGAATTAAAGGCAGGCTTCCTTTTTAAAGGCATCCATAGAGCAGCCAGCTCCGTGGCAAGGAGCCGGACTTCTGTGTGTCTGATGAGGAATCCCATTCTCGGCATAAAGGCAATCTCGGGGAGCAGTCGGAGGCAGACCAGATCTCAGATCCACCAAACCCAAGAAATCCCTTGTGATCTGAATGGCTGAATTTGTTGAGGTTTCCCTCCCGATGGCTAAGAAGATGCCTTCCTATCACAGATGACAAAACACAAACCAACAAAACCCCGATAGCTGGGCAGGGTCTTCAAGAAAGGGCCCCTTTTTCATGGAAGCCAACTCTTCCATCTCGCGCCACCCGCCATCATGGAGAGGAAGTCTCTCGGGATGAACGAATGCCTTTGCAATCTACGTTAACCGACTCTCTTTTCCGATAGGCTGACACTCTTTCCCCTCGTGGACACGTCCCGAGATCGGCAGGCTTCGGTGCATCGGTCTTCTGTGCACCAAAAGCCGTGCGAAGGCCCCTGTCGTCGAAATGTATTCGGCATGGACGCTAGTGAAGAATTTTAAACCAGTCTAGCCCGGTTCAGTCCTTCAGTCCTTTTTTTTCTCATTTCTTACATGACCGCTGTGTCCTAAAAGGATACAACTGAGGAAACTCCAGATGGAACAGAGGCAAAGGGAAGGGGGGCAGAGCTTCCGTGTTCCGTGACCCCTCTCCAGGAACGCCTCTGTCCCCACCATTTCAGGCGTTCAAGCAACCTGGAAGCTCCCCGAATTAGGTTAGTTCTTCTTCGAAGGGGCGGGGGTCGGGGTGGGGAAGGTTGGGGAGCGCCGAGGTTTGGAAACATTGCAGGGCAATCAAGGCTATTGCCAAATCTCGAGTCCGTGCAGAGGTACGTAAGGTACACGTAAGGCCGGGATGGGGGGCGTGGCGTGGCGTGGCGGGGCGGGGCGGGGCTTGGCGGGGCGGGGGTGGGTGGGTGCGCGCGCCTGGCGGGGAGGGTTGCGGTGTGTGTCCATGTGCGTTCAGCAGGTGTAGGGGAGGAAGAATGTTCCCTCTAACTTCCCTTTCTACTCCCTGTTGGGGGAGAACAGTGAAGAGAGCCCGGGTGAGGGCGAGGGCGACGGTGACGGCGAGGGCGACGGTGACGGCGGGTGGGGGCGAGGCGCGGACAGGAAGGGGGGAGGGGTAGTAGAGGTGTTTATTTCTTTTGGCGGTGATGGAAATGTTCTGGAAATTGCAGTGAAGGTTGTGCAGCTTTGTGAGCCACCTTAAAAAAAAAGAAAAAAAGGCCACCCAATGGCCCACTTTTAAGAGTATGCGAAATATGGCATGCGAATTGTATCTCCACTTCGAAAATCTGTGACGAAACAATGTGATGGACATAGGGAAGGAGGGAGGGACGGACGGGACCCTCACCCTCACCCTCACCCTCACCCTCACCCTCACCCTCACCCTCACCCTGGCTCTCTTCACCGTTCGATCCATGGATCGATCGATCCATCGATCCATCGATCCATCGATCCATCCATCCATCTATACATGCCATGCATGCAGTCTGTCGGTTCATGTAGACATCAAAGGGGGGGGAGGGGAAGGGGGCCACGAGGGGAGGGGAAGGGAGGAGGGGAAGGGAGGAGGGGAAGGGGGCCAAGGGGGGAGGGGAAGGGAGAAGGGGGAAGGGGGAAGGGGGAAGGGGGAAGGGGGAAGGGGGAGGGGAAGGGGGCCAAGGGGGGAGGGGAAGGGAGAAGGGGGAAGGGGGAGGGGAAGGGGGCCAAGGGGGGAGGGGAAGGGAGGAGGGGAAGGGGGGAGGGGAAGGGAGGAGGGGAAGGGGGG